CGGCGAGCGCCCCCCCCAGGTCTTGCGCCCGGTGCGGCCGGCCCCCCCTGCACCCCCCACACTACGCCACTGAACTAGTGTAACCCCTGTCTACCCCTCCCCTTTTGTGACAACATGTCAGTGATGTAGCAATGATGCTGTATGGTATGAACTGTATTCTGGGATATGGTGGGAAAGTTTTAAAAGTCCTTGTCTCCCCATCCTCAGGGTTCAAAATTCCTCTTTGAATCTGTTGCGCAATAAACTTTGGTCTACAGCTATTTGCTCCAGTTGGTGGCTGGACTCCTTCCTTTATTCTGCAGGAACCCGCGGGCTCTGCCCTGACGAGCTGGGTGACTGAGCAGCCTCGCACCTAGATTTTTCCGTAACATTGCTTGAATAAGAACCTTCAATAAGGTGCCCATCAGTTTCTCTGTTTTTAAAACCACAACATAAAAACCATAACATTACAGCAGCCTGCTGGATCAGCCAATGGCCCATCTAGTCCGTCATCCTGTTCTCACAGCGGCCAACCAGATGCCTGGGGGGAACTAACAAGCAGAACATGAGCCCAAGAACACTCTCCCTCTTCTGCGTGTTAATGGAAAAATCCGAGGGCTCCCTTGGACAAAAACAAAGACACCAACCAGGTTAACTTGGAGCAAAACAGCAGCCTGTAGGCTTGGCCTTTATTGATCAGTTGCAACAGGGTGCTCCCCTCACCCGCAGGAGAGAGGAGGGACCCAGAAAAATGGTGTGCAAGGCCTTATCAAGACTTTTGAAATTGCCACCCTGTAGATCAAGACCACCCCCAGAAACATCACACCTACATCACAGAAAAGGAGGTCTAAAACAGAAAATTTGAATGTTGTTTTTCTCTTGTTGTTTATTTCCTGTCTAGCAGGTTACTTGATTGGATTGCCTGGGGAACCTGGCCATTCTTTTGTAGTGATAAATACTTAGTTCCTGGGCCATGTCACAGGCTCACACCCTATTCAAACACAGACATACCCTTAAGACAGGATTAATGAAGGAAAAGACAATGGGGAGGCTTTTCCAGTTTGATCTTGCCTAGAAAACATTTGCTCAGTTTAGGAATCAAAATGGTTCCAGGTTGGCCTTCCTGTGCTGATCTATGTATGTGCTTGGTTGGTACACTTATGAACATTACCATATATCTAAGACCGTAAAATTCCTATCACATGCAGTTTCCAGCAACTGGTGTTCAGAAGCCATGCTGCTTCCAGATAAAGCCATTAATAGCTCTCTCCTCCATGATTTTGTCTAATCCTCTTTCAAAGCCATTTTAAATTGGTGGCCATCGCATTAGTTTGATGTCAAACTGGATTTATTTCTCAGTTCTGAATTATATAGCATTTATGGAAAAATCGAGGTGCGAGGCTGCTCAGTCGCCCAGCTCATCGGTACAATCTAGCCCTAAAGCAAATCTCACTCTAGGGAGAATGGGGGCAAAATGCATACAGTCAGGCAGGAAGGGAGAATCAGAATCAGGGATTCAGCTCCTTTCTGGGAATTCTGCTGTTGCTCCTCAAACCTGGGGTCATAGCTATCACCCCAAAACCCAATGTTGTCCGATTCACTCCAAAACAGTGCCAAAGCGTGGCAACAACAACAACAATTTATTTGTACCCCACCCATCTGGCTGGGTTTCCCCAGCCACTCTGGGCGGCTTCCAACAAAGATTAAAAATACATTAAAATATCACACATTAAAAACTTCCCTGAACTATTAGATAAGTTCATGAAGATACCAACAAAAGGTAAGTTTGGTGATATTCAAAGCAAATCAGTCTCTTAAACTTAAGCCAAGAAAGAGCATTCTCTACAATACTGAATATCGATATACATATCAGGACTTTGAGACTAGACCACTGAAGAAGCCCGGAAAACTATCTTGGGAGTGTGCTATCTGCAAGCCCCAGTTAAAGGGCCCCATTGGGGGAGAACAGCGGCCTTTTGATTACTTGGACTGCCAGGGAGAAACAGATGCAAAACGCCGGCACCCTGTCTCTACAACTCGACTAGCCTCTCTCGGTATTGTGAATAGCACCGAACTTACCTTTGGTTAGTATCTTCATGAACTTATCTAATAGACTGAGTGAAGCATTTGAAAAAAATCTATTGAAACCAGACATTATAAGTTCATTTTAGGCTGGGTAGTTCGCAAGTCTTTGAGGCTTTGTTTAATGTTTTGTATTTTTCTCAGAAGGATGAAGCATAGCCATCATGGCTACTTACCTCTTCCAAGCCCCTGGCTACAGATGAAACCCTCACAAAGGAAACAGGTATGAGAGAACTTCCACCTAGTGAGCCTCCTCTTCCACACAGCTGGGCCTGGCCTCATTTTGAGTGGGGCCAGCTGCAAGTCGTTCCCTTAGCATTTGCAGGAATTGCTGGGAGTGCCTCAAACATTGCAGGCAGAGCATTGCAGAGCAGGTGTGTAGCTTTAAAGAGAACTGTATTCCCCTCACAGAACTACAATTCTCTGGAGAGAGATGATGGTGATGATTAATTGAATTTATATAACGGCCAATACCTGCAGGTTTAATAGATAGACGGCTAAGCCATTCTTTTTATATATATATAATTTTTTATTAGTTTTTCAACATATTATTTTCAACAATAATTAACCATACTTTCATATCTTATACCATTTTTTACATTTAAATCTCATAACTAATATCTCTATTCTTTCTCTTCTTTGCAATGCTTCATATACTGTATTTCTCCTTACAAAATTTCTTGTAGTCCTACTAGCGTAATTTGTTGATTACAGTTGCTCTTCAAATAGTTTGTATATCTCTTCCAATCTTCTGTGAATCTCTGGTCCCGCAGGGTTCGAATCCTTCCTGTCATTTTATCTAATTCTGCATAGTCCATTAATTTTGTCTGCCATTCTTCTTTCATCGGAATTTCTTCTTGCTTCCATTTCTGGGCTAACAATACTCTTGCCGTTGTTGTTGCATATAAAAACAATTTAACATCTTGTCTATTAATATCCTCACCTATAATACCAAGTAAAAATGCTTCTGGTTTTTAAATAAAATGTATATTTCAACATCTTTTTCATCTCAGACTGCTAAACCATTCTATAATTGGGTGGGGGAGCTCCTAACAACGTTCAGCACCCTTGAACTACTTTGTCGTTTCATGGTGATTTAAATGGTCCTTCCTTGGAGGTTTTTAAGCAGTGTTTGAATGGCCACCTGTCATCTGCATTGCAGGGGGTTGGACTAAGATGACCCTCGGGGGAACCCCTTCCAACTATGATTCTATGAAAGATACATGGTGAATGTGGTCATGGTTAGGACTCCATCTAAACTTCATGACAGCTTAAACTTTGTTGCAGCTTAATAGGGTGGTGAACTTGCTCAAGGTCATGGGGCGAATTTCATGGCTGAGTGGGAATTTGAATTCTTGGTCTACCAGCTCCTAGGCTGACTCTCCAGGCACTACACCACACAGTCTCCACAGTTCTCCCAGGGGGAATAGGGGCTCCTAACCACTCTTGGCACCCATAACAGTACAGCATCTATGGTTTTTGGTGTGTTTGCTGTGCTATGTGTTTGCTGTTCACATAGTGCTCTAAAGAGGAACAGCACCTTAAAGGTAAAGGTAAAGGGACCCCTGACCATTAGGTCCAGTCGTGGATGACTCTGGGGTTGCGGCGCTCATCTTGCTTTACTGGCCGAGGGAGCCGGCGTACAGCGTCCGGGTCATGTGGCCAGCATGACTAAGCCGCTTCTGGCGAACCAGAGCAGCGCACGGAAATGCCGTTTACCTTCCCGCCGGAGCAGTACCTATTTATCTACTTGCACTTCAACGTGCTTTTGAACTGCTAGGTTGGCAGGAGCAGGGACCGAGCAACGGGAGCTCACCCCGTCGCGGGGATTCGAACTGCCAACCTTCTCATCGGCAAGTCCTAGGCTCTGTGGTTTAACCCACAGCGCCACCCGCATCCGCAGTGCCACAAATGACCAAATTCTCCCCACCAGAGGCTTTTGATCCATGCAAGCCTGAAGCAGCAGTTCTCTCCTTGCAGCAGTTGGTGGTTCACATAACCCAGCCAGGAGGCCCGTGGCACTGTTCACATAACAAAAACTACCGCAGATATTAACATTTTGAAAAGTGAGTGGGGGGCGGGGCGGTCCATGACTTGGCTTTCGAAAAACGGGGGGTTTGCAATACTTGACTAACAGGGAACCATTGCCCTACAGGATTTACTAGAAAACTGAATGTAGCAACCCAGGTGCTTTGCCTAATTTATGCTGTGTGGTAATTATCTCACTGCAGAAAGTGAAGTTACAGGGAACCAGGCAGAGGGCCTTCTTGGTAGTGGCACCCGCCCTGTGGAATGCCCTCCCAACAGATGTCAAGGAGATAAAGAACCACACAACTTTTAGAAGACATCTGAAGGCAGCCCTGTATCGGGAAGCTTTTAATGTTTGACCGACTATTGTATTTTAATATTTTGCTGGAAGCTGCCCAGAGTGCCTGGAGAAACTCAGCCAGATGTGTGGGGTATAAATAATAAAATTATTATTATGAGTATTCTGGGCCATGATATGGGAGTATGATGAACCTTATTCATCGCAAAAGGGCGTGGTCTAAAGCATCAAGTTCTTTGGATGGCAGTGAAGTTAAGGAAGCAGTGGAAGAAAGTAAGAGGCCTCATTTAAGAGAGGAGAACAAACAATTTAAGGAAGATGAAGTGAGGAGGTACCCCAGACAAACCAGCAACAACTGTTGTAAAGGCTTAGCAGTAGATCACTTGAGCCGGTGTCAATTCAGGTGAAATTGCCTTGCAGCATGCTGAGGATTGTAAACCGGAATCATAGAATCATAGAGTTGGAAGAGACCACAAGGACCATCGAGTCCAACCCCCTGCCAAGCAGGAAACACCATCAGAGCACTCCTGACATATGGTTGTCAAGCCGAATGATAAAAGTGTAATTTGAAAAACCAAATAAATATATATATATATTTAAAAAGTAAACTGGATTGATGAATCTGTCTGTTTATTAGGATAACATTTATTCATAACCACCTTTTAAAAACAACTAGGACATCTCACAGGCCTTGCCTTTTAAACTTTGCACAAATATATCATTCACATAATCTTCACATAGAACCTATGAAATGTACAAGGAGCAAGCAGCAGAGGAGAGACAAGCTACAGTATATATATCTTGATTGCAGGCAATTTAAGTGAAACCATTCCTTGACCTTCGTACCGATTACTGGACTTCTTCAGAGGAAAAATACATATATTCCCCCACTGAAAGAGTTCTGGTTATTTAGAGGTTAGCTTAGGCAGGTGAAGTTGATAAAAGTTTTTTTTAAAAAATAAAATATGCTAACCCACCATTCCTCCTCTTTAATTTTAAAACTTGGGCTTCAACAATGCAACACGCTCCCAACCCCCACCCCAATATAAAGGCTGAAAATCATGTTGCTACATCGGGACTGCCTGGCAGGATCAGATGTGGATGACATCTTAAATACGGCGATGATGATGTAGAAATTGCAGCATAAGCAGTAGTGGCAGCAGTACATAGCACCATCTTTGTATATGGTACCCTACAAAGGACACGCACAGATTCCAGGCTGCCTGTTGTAAGTCAGGTGTGCCTCCATTTATCTGGTCCCGGGGCCTGGGCCTTGATAAGTCAAGAGGACCTCCAAGGAGTTGGCCCTGGGGTCTGTACTCTGGAAAGGCAGGAGCTTCTCCAGCTATTGGGTCCTGGGGTCTAGGCTGTGATAAGTCAAGAGGACCTCCAAGGAGTTGGCCCTGGGGTCTGTACTCTGGAAGGGCAGGAGCTTCTCCAGCTGTTGGGCCCTGGGGTCTGGGCCTTGATAAGTCAAGGGGACCTCCAAGGAGTTGGTCCTGGGCTCTGTACTCTGGAAAGGCAGGAGCTTCTAGAGCTATTGGGTCCTGGGGTCTGGGCCGCGATATGTCCATGGCCCTCTCACCTATCTGGCCCTCAGATTTGCACTGCAATGAACCCAGGGCCACCTGGCCCCCCAATCTGCGTTGTGTTAAGTCCAGGGCCCCTGAAGCTCTTTGGGGATTGCGCTGTGATAAGTCCAGCACCGCCCCAGCTCTCTGGCCCCAGGGTGGAAACCGCCAAAAGGCCGGGACCCGGGACTGACGCCAAGATGGTCTGCACCAAAATCCGGCCTGGTCCCCTTCCTCTTCCTTGGACTGCGATAAGGGCAGGGACTCTTTCTGTACAGCCCTGCTGCGGCAAAACGTCACATCCCCCAGGGAAAAAATTCCATGGGTTTGGATGCCGGACACCACCCCTTCTCCCGTTTTCGTCCCTCTGTCGGCTTCCTTTCCCCCCTCATAACCATTCTGCGGCCTTTCTTGGTGGCTACTTATAAACGTCTCCCAGTCCCACTCCATGCCATCACCCCCTAGAATCTGTCGGTGGCTTTCCTCTTGCGCAAAGGGGCCTTGTCCCGGAAGGAGTTTGACTGATTTAGTGGGAGGCATCAGGCCTCGGCCCAACCCAGGGGACCAGCGAGCAAGACCGTCGCTCTCCGCAGCTTCTGAGCTGTTGTCTTGCTCCTCTTCTTTGTCTTCGGCTTCCCCTTGGGCCTCCTCCGGATGAAACCGCTTAAGTCCCGTCTTCGGCTGGGCTGGAAGCTAGAAAGTGAGGGGAAAGGGCGATATTATAGAACAGCGTCAAATGGGGAAGAGACAGGAGGAGTCTAAGAGATGACGGCAGTTACCAGAGGAAGAAGGGAATGGACCAGGAAGGAGGGATGAAAGAAAAGGAGAGTTTTGTAGGAAAGGAGAAGAGGAAGAGAAATTGCAGGAGACTGATAAAAAACAGCGCCACAAAAAACCAAAACAAACAAACAAAAAAACTCGCCACAAAAACATCCCTCATTCTCTTAGAAGGGCAACAGTGCCCACCTGAGAGGTGCCGGAACTGAGTTCCGAAACCCTGATAAAAATGCTTTTTTGAGAGGCATGTGGAGGAAGGGAGGGGGAAAAAAATACAGTGGTGCCTCGCAAGACGAAAAGAATCTGTTCTGCGATTCTCTTCTTCTTGCGGTTTTTTCGTCTTGCGAAGCAAGCCCATTAGCGGCTTAGCGCTATTAGCGGCTTAGCGGATCAGCTGATAAGCGGCTTAGCGGCTTGGGGAAAAGGGGGGGGGGAGGAAAAAAACCCTGAGGGAACTCGCAAGACATTTTTGTCTTGCGAAGCAAGCCCATAGGAAATTCGTTTTGCAAAGCACCTCCAAAACGGAAAACCCTTTCGTCTAGCGAGTTTTCCGTCTTGCGAGGCATTCGTCTTGCGGTGCACCACTGTATAAAAAGGAAAAGCCTCCTCTGCTTATGAGCCTTTAAGAACAGCAAACTCTGCCGAAAATGGGGAGGATCGCAAGAAAATTGCCAGGTTTCATCTTCTTCCCATCAACTATGGTGGGAATGCCTGCTCACTACAACTCCAAGGAGAATAATTTCCTCAATGCATTTCATATATAACAGGCACTGCAACGATGCCTACCACTGTTTTGTCAATTTTCATAGAATTGTAGAATTGCAGAGTTGGAAGGGACCCAATGGTCATCTAGTCCAGCCCCCTGCAATGCAGGAATCAGAGCTAATGTCTCTGGAAACAAGTTATATGATAACAACAAATCAGAAAGATACTGGCTTGTATAGTTTATACAGTGGTACCTCTGGTTATGTACTTAATTCGTTCTGAAGTTCCGTTCTTAACCTGAGGTACCACTTTAGCTAATGGGGCCTCCCGCTGCTGCCGTGCGATTTCTGTTCTCATCCTGAGGTAAAGTTCTTAACCCGAGGTACTACTTCCGGGTTAGCGAAGTCTGTAACCCGAAGCATTTGTAACCCAAAGCGTTTGTAACCTGAGGTACCACTGTATATGTGTTTATCCCGTTTTGTTTGTTGTTTATAAATCAAGTCTTTTCTTGAAGACAACAGGGGGCTTTGAACTGGGCTTACTTTTCTGGGTAAGCAATCTCTGGAAATCGCTGAGGGACTTCGCATGGTATCACGTAAGGAACTCACACGCGCCTCCCGTAACACCTGCAACAGTGAAGAAGAGATGTTTTAAGGCAGAGTACAGTGGCGCCTCGCAAGACGAAATTAATCCGTTCCGCGAGTCTCTTCGTCTTGCGGTTTTTTCGTCTTGCGAAGCACGGCTATTAGCAGCTTAGCGGCTATTAACGGCTTAGTGGCTTTAAGAAAAAGGAAACAAACTCGCAAGAACTCGCAATACGTTTCGTCTTGCAAAGCAAGCCCATAGGGAAATTCGTCTTGTGGAACGACTCAAAAAACGGAAAACCCTTTCGTCTAGCGAGTTTTTCGTCTTGCGAGGCATTTGTCTTGCGGGGCACCACTGTATCAGCGCTGGACCTCATTTAGCCCTCCACCCCCACAGTAAGAAGTCTTATTGGCACCTGGATGATATCACGGGTCATAGTTGGCCACATCCCAGGGTGGGAAAATCTGGGGTTTTGATCCTCCATGGGTTGTCTCAGACAAACAGTGCAGCACTATGGGAAACGAAAAGAAATGCAAGGGATCAAGACTGGATAGCAGGACATAATAACATAATAATAATACCTTTACAACCTGTGTGCAATGAAATTAACCGAGCCTTCCTCCTCCCCACCCACAAACACTCAGTCTCATTGCACTCTGTGTGCTTGTTGCACAACACACCAACCCCAAAATTCAGTTGCACTATATTATTTCCCGTTCAGCGGCTTAACAGCCCATGGATAGAAGCTGTTTTTAAGCCTGTTGGTACGGCTGATTATACTTCTATATCTCCTGCCCGAGGGTAGAAGATTAAAGAGGTGCTGGCCGGGGTGTGAATCATCCCTGAGAATTTTTCTCACTCTAAGGCAATGATCCCTTGCAATGTCATCTAGCGGGCTCACCACCCTCTGTAAAGACTTTCTGTCTGTGGCTGTCAAGCCAACGTACCACACTGTGGTGCAATATGAGAGGACACTTTCTATTTTCTCAAGCTTAGGACAGCTCGTTATATAGTGAATGGAGAGCCCTGTTCAATAATGTTTGTACCATTAAATTGACATATAAACTATGGGACAAGGATAACTGTGACTTTAAAGAGGAATGGGAACCTTTTACACAGTACCTAAAGACGCAACAAAGTGAATTGGACTCTTTGGCAGGTGTTGAATAAACACTCACAAACTTTTTATTGATAATAATTAGTTAGATAAATTAAGGATTTATACAATTCTGTAACATGCAGAGAACAGCATTTATAGAGAAACCAGAGATTGGAACTGAGGGAAGTCAGGGGTGGGGGGTGGGTTGTTTGTGGGAGGGAGGGGGGAAATGAGGAAAAAAATAAGGATGATATGTTTTAAGATAATATGTTTTGTTGAATTACCTAATAATAATAATAATAATAATAATAATAATAATAATAATAATGTTCATAGCATTATTTACTAAGATAGAAACTGCTTGGCTCCAAAAGAGACTTCTAGCCCAGGGGGGACAACGAGTTGCAGGAATTGAGGGCGACAGCAATTCTCTCCTCTTGAGATTCCAAGCAATTGGCGTTTGGTGGCAAGGTTGCCTCTGAACAGAAGAAAGCCATGATGACTAGCAGCTTAGGGACAGAAGAAGAACCAGGCAGGATCAGGCCAAAGGCCCAACTTCCAATTTTCAACAGGGACCAAGTTGGCGGCCATCACCTCCCCTCCCCAGCCCCCAAAACAACTATTTAAAACCTTCAAAAAGTCATTAAAACCAAGGGCAAGCAATGGCCAGAGAAGCTTGTTTAAACCAATTGGGCCCCGGTCCCAGGTGGCAAAATGGGTCAGTGGGTTTGGCTTTTAACACACCCAAGGACGGCTGTGGGCAGGATTCCTGCACTGCAAGGGGTTGGACTAGATGACCCTCAATGTCCCTTGCAACTGTACCCATTCTATGAGAGGTCTCTTCCCTCATCTGCCCCCATCCTGTCTCTCCACCCTTGCCCCTTTTCTCACCTAAAAAGCCACAAAGGTTGTATCTTCCCTCAGAGTTCCTTTTGAGGGCCCTTACAACTCTTGCAGTCCTTGGAGACCAGGGTTCAAATCCCTGCTTGGCCATGACTGTTGGGTCAGTGACTGCCTGGCAGCCTAATCCACCTCACAGGGTTGTTGTGAGAATTAATTGGGGGCTGGAGCCATGTACTTGAGTGCCTTGGGGACCAAGATGGGATATAAATAAAAGGCAAGTAAATAAAGAATTAAAAACCCCTTATAAGTATCATAAAATCCCTAAGATGGATGGATCAAAAGAGTGGGGGAAATCTTCAGTCTGAGATGAATCCTGAACCGCATTGTAACATCTCCACCCCCATCGTTCATCCTGGACACTGAGCTCCAGCGCCAAGGGCCTTCTGGCGGTTCCCTCATTGCGAGAAGTGAGGTTACAAGGAACCAGACAGAGGGCCTTCTCGGTAGTGGCGCCCACCCTGTGGAACGCCGTCCCTTCAGATGTGAAGGAAATAAGCAGGTATCTTCTCTTTAAAAGACATCTGAAGGCAGCCCTGCTTAGGGAAGTTTTTAATATTTAATGCTGTATTGTTTTTAACGCTTGATTGGAAGCCGCCCAGAGTGGCTGGGGAAACTCAGCCAGATGGGCGGGGTATAAATAATAAATTATTATTATTATTATTATTATTATTATTATTACAATAAAATGCAGGCAAGTGGAGAGATCCATTTAAGTCTACACCAGATGTGCCAAAGCCCGTCTTACACTTTATCATTCAGGTTCATTGGCTGGGGCTGATGGGAGTTGGAGAGTCCTGAAACATCTCAAAGGCCATAGGTTCCTGTGCATAGTTTTACACACTTCTATTCATGCCCACCCCCTGTTGCTTCTTTCCTTGGGAGTGGAGAGATAGGTCACACCTACACTAGCCAATTAAAGCACATGGGCTTCCCCCAAAGGATCCTGGGAATTGTATGAGGAAGGGCTGTAGCTCAGCCGCAGAATATCTGCTCTGCATGCAGAAGGTTCCTAATGGCGTTTACAGGCTCCCCGCTTGAAACTTTGGAGACAAAGCCTTCTAGACAACACTGAGCCTACATGGACCAATGCTTTGACTCAATATGAGACAGCTTACTACCTTCCTAGTTTACCCCTCAGAGCTACAGTCCTTGGACCCGTGAACTACAGCTCCCACGATTCTTTGGGGCAATCCATACACTTTTAATGTATGGTGTAGGTGGAGCCATTTTTTATTTTTGCCTTGCCCTTGGGATGCACCCATGCTGGGGTTGGGGAATTTCAAACACTTGTGTGAGTTGTGCTCTGGCCCCACAGTTTAGGATTCCACTTTTGGAATAAGCACGGCGCTTCTGGAAACAGAAAATTTTAACCGTGCAGCAAAAGTGAGGGTTTCAAACCTAATCAACGCAGTGGGGTGGTGTTGTAATTGAGAAAGGGCCTTGCTCCTGCAAACCGTTGAGGTGTGTTGCAATACCCCTTGATTACAGACAATCACCATCGCTGCCACCACCTTTGTGGTGACAAAGATTTGTCTGCAGCCACAGTCAAAGGAGATTGCAATGCCCTTCTCCGGTTTCCGGGAGATTCCCCAGCAGTTTTCAATGGGCAACTGTGCCTTAAACTGTTTGGGAATCTGGTTCCCAAGTCAAAGGGGGAGGGGGCACTCCTGCTCCTCTCCAGCCATTTCAACCACGCTGCAAAAGTGAGGAAGAGGGATTTAAAAAAACTCCACGCAAGGATTTTGCACCCGAATCCGCAACGGAGAGTGGGATCTACTTTTCCGACCAGGGCTTCTTCTAAAACAAAAGCAGTGAGGCGCCTTGCAAGGTCGTTTGATTGTGTAGATGCCCAATTTTCTCTTGCAACGCGCGCGCGCCTTTGCTTATAGGAACTTGCCTCTGGGAATTTATTCCCCAATGGGATCTTTCAAGCGCACGTGCTTTCTCCAGTCGCCGAGGCTTTAAATCTCTTCCTCGCTTTTGCAACGTGGTTGAACTTTCCGGGGAATCGGTGCCCCAAATAGCTAGGAAAAGTTGGGACACCAAAACGCCTGGTTAAGGAAACCTGCAAGTGAGATCAGGATTCTTCTGCGAGGTGCGCCCTTTTCTTTAGAATCCACCCTTTTGGCGCAAAAGCAATAAAAATGGGTCTAGACTAATCGCCTGTTAGAAGACCCTCATGCCACTGTTGTTGCACGGAGTCTCCCAAAATATATATAATATAAATATATACATTTACAAAATATGCAGCTTTACGTCTCTGGCTTTATTACAGAAAAGAGACACAACCCTCACGCCTCCAATTTCTGCTTTTCTCTGGAGGAGCTTACAAAAAAATAAATCCCCTCTCTTGAACTCACCTAAGATCTTCCAGCGAGAGGATCCAGAAGCAGCTGCGTCCGTGGGGAAAAAGAGAGATCCGGAAGCGGGAATTTTTAAAAAAAGCAGCTGGTTGCGACGTCGTTTCCGGAAGAGGAGCCCCATTGGAACAGAAACCCAACTTGGAGATCTTGTGTTCCCAAGCTTACTCTCTGGAAGGGGGTTGCTCAATTTCCTCCCAAAAGCTTCCGATTTGAGGAAGGGGGGGGTTCCTTTAGGATTGGCAAAGGTTGATGGGAATGGTGGTTCCAACCAACCCCCGCTGTGTTTTGGGTAGGAATTTAAGCATGAAAAAGAAAAAAATAACAAGTGAAAAAATTGGGTATCTCCCCCCCCCCAGCAAAGGGGAATCTTCAGCTCTCCCCAGCTCTCTTTGTCCCTAACCCTTGGTCATGAGGGGCTGATGGGGTTGGAGTCCAGCCATTTCTGGACTCCCAGAGGGACATTGTTCCCACCATCTTAATGATTAACCTTTTAGGATGAGGTGAACAGAGCTGTACATGCACCTATATTATACTTTTGCGTGTTCTTTTCGTGATTCTATGCATTCAATGCACACTTTCCCCGAATGCTCATTTTAAACCTTTTTGCTTGGATACACCATCAGAAAAATCAGGAAGTGCAAATTTTACCTTGTGCAGGAGACTATTTGTCACACGTGGCGACTGCAGCTTGGAATGTGGGGAAAGGGTGGTGGAAAGGAATAGGATTGGGGGGTTGGATTAGACGACCCTTTGGGTCCCTTCCAACCCCACAAGCGCCTGGTTCACAAAGGGGCAACCAAAATGATTGAAGGGGATGGAGCAACTCCCCTGATTGAGCTGGCAGAGGTGGTCTCTGGCATGGTTTTGGAGGAACATAGTCATTCTGAGTTTGCCACTGAGCCCAGTTGAGAGTTCATGGCTTCCATGGCAATCATTGGGCTTACTTAAATTGTCATTATACCAGGCACATCACAATTGGAAGGGCACAACCTTGAATTCAAGATTGGGTTGCTGGAATGCACTCAGGTCTTTATTGAGAGAGTAATCCGCTGAGTAGGTCTGTTTACAGTTGTGTAGTAACAGAAGTTTAGACAAATTTATGGAGGGGAATGGGACGTGGGGGCGCTGTGGTCTAAATCACAGAGCCTAGGGCTTGCTGATCAGAAGGTTGGTGGTTCGAATCCCCACAACGTGTTGAGCTCCTGTTGCTCGGTTCCAGCTCCTGCCCACCTAGCAGTTCGAAAGCATGTCAAAGTGCAAGTAGATAAATAGGTACCGCTCCGGAGGGAAGGTAAATGACAATTCTGTGCGCTGCTCTGGTTTACCAGAAGCGGCTTAGTCGTGCTGGCCACATGACCTGGAAGCTGTCTGCGGACAAACGCCGGCTCCCTCAGCCTAAAGAGCAAGACGAGTTCACAATCCCAGAGTCGTCTGAGACTGGACCTAACGGTCAGGGGTACCTTTACCTTTGTTGTTGTTTAGTCATTTAGTCGTGTCCGACTCTTCGTGACTCCATGGACCAGAGCACGCCAGGCACTCCTGTCTTCCACTGCCTCCCGCAGTTTCGTCAAACTCACGCTGGTAGCTTCGAGAACACTGTCCAACCATCTGATCCTCTGTCGTCCCCTGCTCCTTGTGCCCTCCATCTTTCCCAACATCAGGGTCTTTTTCAGGGAGTCTTCTCTTCTTATGAGGTGGCCAAAGTATTGGAGCCTCAGCTTCAGGATCTGTCCTTCCAGTGAGCACTCAGGGCCGATTTCCTTCAAAATGGATAGGTTTGATCTCCTTGCAGTCCATGGAACTCTCAAGAGTCTCCTCCAGCACCATAATTCAAAAGCATCCATTCTTCGGCGATCAGCCTTCTTTATGGTCCAGCTCTCACTTCCATACATCACCACTGGGAAAACCATAGCTTTAACTATACGGACCTTTGTTGGCAAGGTGATGTCTCTATGTGGGATAAGAAGCTACAGTTAGAACTGGATATGGAACAACTGATTGGTTCAGAATTGGGAAAGGAGTATGACAAGGCTGTATATTGTCTCCCTGCTTATTTAACTTATATGCAGAATTCATCATGCAAAAGGCTGGGTTGGATGAATCCCATGCTGGAATTAAGATTGCCGGAAGAAATATCAACAACCTCAGATATGCAGATGACACAACCTTGATGGCAGAAAGTGAGGAGGAATTAAAGAACCTTTTATTGAGGGTGAAAGAGGAGAGCGCAAAATATGGTCTGAAGCTCAACATCAAAAAAACTAACATCGTGGCCACTGATCCCATCACCTCCTGGCAAATAGAAGGGGAAGAAATGGAGGCAGTGAGAGATTTTACTTTCTTGGGCTCCATCATCACTGCAGATGGTGACAGCAGTCACGAAATTAAAAGACGCCTGCTTCTTGGGAGAAAAGCAATGACAAACCTAGACCTTTACCTTTATGGAGAGGGAAAGCCTACCCAAGGTTATTATCTTCAAGGATATGTTCTCCCTCCTCTGCTGAAGGTAGGAGGCCCCTGTGCGATGAGTTTTGGAAATCACATGTAGGGAAAGTTCTGCTCCACATCTTCAGGTTGTGGCCTTCCCTTTGGGGCAACTTGTTGGCCATTGTGATTACAGAATGCTGGACTAGATGGACCTTTGGCCTGATCGGCTCCAGGGCTCTTAAGAGGCCAATAAAGATAATGCAAACTCATCTTTCTGCCTCCTTGACCCATGTCAGTCTATTCAGTAAACATGTTTTTCTCTTGCTCTGCACCTGCTATTCTGAAGTTCCAGAGGAAACCTCTCTTCCCTTTACAATTATCTGAACCACAGCGATTTATTCCTACCATTTACAGAGTCCAAGGGATCCTCACACCCCACCCTCAAATATTGCATTTGGGAACAATAACATAAACATCACAATTAAGGGCACCTGGAGGATTATTTCTTCCACTGTGCCTGAAGGGTTTGATGTATAAAATATCTCATGTGCCACAGAGTCCTTGGGGCTAAGATATAGGGCAGATGAAGGGGGAAGCTAAGTTTGTGCGAAGTTTAATCAGGACTTAGGAAGCTGCCTTTGAGATCTGTACCATCTGCTGACTGGCAGTAGCTTTCCTGGAAGGGGACATCCTCAGCTCTGCCTGGAGATATGAGTCAGGATAGCACTTCACACCTTCTGGGTGCAAAACAGATGCTTGCCCATTGAATCTTTGGTCCTTCCACTCAACTCCCCTTTGACCCTGAGGCCACAGCCAGACACTTTCCTTTATTTGTCAAGTCACTGCAGCTTCTGATTTGCAAGAATGTGGGCCTTCTTCTGTGCAGCGGGTAGTGGAGGGAGGAACAGGCAAAAGCAAAGTGTAGCCGATAGACCCAGAATGATAACACTGTTTCTGGTTATGTCTATCACAAACTATGGGCTGCAGCAGAGGGTAAAGTGTCCACCGAGTGTGATTGGTGATATAAATTCTCCGGTGAACTTTTACCAGCCAGCGGACCACCTCATTGGTGGAATCATATCTCCAAGATTTTTTGAAAATCCATATTCCTTCACCTTTTCCAGAAACCCCTTCAAGAGAATTGAGATGTAAGTACTGATGTATTAATGGGATTTATTTCTGCTCCTAGCTACTTTCTAGTTCCCTAGATATACCTGTGTTACCCCTTTTTTCTGGTAGTCTAGCTTTGTGTGAAATATTTGATTTGGTTTTATCATTAGAAATCTACAGTCAAACAATTTATATAATCATTTCATGAAATTCCCCCCACCCCCTACAATGGGTCCTTGTAACAGAATTTAAATCTACATATGCATACATTCCCCACAATTTTCATTTTCCAAATTATCCATAATCTCCATCACTTTACAAGTGATTCTTAGAGTCCAGCTAAAGTTTTGATTTGCTTGCAACGGTCTTCTAAGTAAATTATAAAATTTCCCCATTCTTTTTTAAAGTCCTTGTCTTGGTTCCTGAGTCTCTCGGTTAGTTTTGCCATTTCGGTGTAGTCTAGAAGCTTGGCTTGCCATTCCTCCCTAGTCGGGATTATTTCTTCCTTCCATCTTTGGGCAAGTAGCACACTTGCAGCTGTTGTCGCATACCTAAACAGTCTTTTGTAACTGGATTGAGGGTAACTATGTGACACACTATTTTTGCAGATGGGAAGTTGTGAGGAGCTCACATGTTCTGTCATTCGCCCTTGCTGTTCAGGATATCAATGATAATCCCAAACTCCTACCAAACATCACCCTTGGCTTCAGCATGTATGATACCTGTTTTCATGGAAGAATGACTTCTGATGCCCTGATAGACCTGTTTTCTGGTGGGGAAATCAGTATTCCAAACTACAGGTGTGGAAGACAGAAAAAGCTGTTGGCTGTTCTTGAAGCGGGTGAATCCGACATCTCCACACACATTGCAAGCATGTTGGGCATCTACAAGATCCCACAGGTAAGAACTGGGTTCAGGTCCAACACACCAGGCAACATATGCCACCTAGTCAGACTGTAGGGAAAACTTAGGATAATGTAACTGATTGTATTGCTTACCTTACATTGTACACTGCTTTGAAACATTGTCTTTCATGAGGTGAAGAGCCATATAGAAATAAACTGAGCCTGGAGCCTTTTACATAGTAAATACAATTGTTTAATGTACATTGAAATGGGAAATGCATAATGTGTCTGTATTGTATACTGTGAAGCATGGCTGGAAACTTTCATTGGTTGTGTCACAAGGTGTTTAGCTCATCTATGTATATGCTAACCTGGGAGGCATCCCTATTGGGTAGGGTGCTCTTTGTTCTTAGCTGCTGAAGAGAATGGATGTGTTTTCTCTCTGTCTCTAGCAAACTGCCTGTGGCTGAATAAGGGCTGCAGTGGAGAAGAGATGGAGCTCTGTTTTTAGCTCAGAATGCAATATATTTGTAATCCACGTTATTATCCCATATACTGGGACCAATATAAGATTTATGCAACTAAGCGAACGTGATTCTGATTGTTTTCAAGTTACATTCTGTAGGTAAACATATTTTTGATAGTGTTACAAGCTTGGTAGATCAGGGGAATTCTGTGGATGTAGTGTATCTTGATTT